CTATAATAACCTAGTAAATAAATAATTAATATTAAATGTATTCAAAAATATCATTTACCTCCTGGACCTAACTTTTCCTTTGGTACTTTAAGCAACCTATTTTTATCTGGACTTTTATAATAAGGAGGAGCTCCATGAAGATACTCATATTGATGTTTTGTTGCTTTCACTAATGGAGAGTACACTACATATTTGTAGGGGAGACCAATTCTTAAGGACACCATAAAATCACTGCTTATTGTCATATCATATCTGACTGAATGGAATCCTTTACCAGCGTCTCTAATAATAATAATAATAATAATAATAATAATAATAATAATAATAATAATAATAATAATAATAATAATAGATGGTTTCATTTAGCTTTGTTTTTATTGTACATGTAGTCTCTTTTTCTGTTATTTTGTTTCTTTTTTCTTTCTATGTACAGGGTCCTCCCTTTTTGTCCCCCTTTTGTCTGTTCTGTGTCTTTATAATAATAATAATAATACCGTCATGCCAGCTTCACTCCCCTTTGCATATCAGTTGATGGTCTTGTTGGTGCTGAGATGAAGACTTTTCTGAAAGTCTTAGCCCAGAAACTGTCAGCAAAGTGGGACAGACCATACAGCTCCACACTATACTGGATTAGCACTAAGCTGTCATTTTCCCTCATATGTGCCACAAACATGTGCATTAGAGGCTCAAGATCAAAGTGGAGGGGTATCGGTATAGAGGATGGCTATGGCATCAATGATTTTATTATCTAACTTATCCTTTGTTCTCAACATATTACTTTGTTCTTATTGTTCGCTTCCCACACTCTTCCCCCCCCCCTCTCTCTCTCTCTCTTTCTCCCCCTCTCTCCTTTTTTTCTTTCTTACCGTATAGCGGGAAATTTTGGAGGGAATTAAATTTGGCAAATTTGGCGTTTTGATAGCCATTCGCCAAAATAAAATCTGCCATTTTGAGTCTTTATATGCATGCTCAATGGCACGTGGCCACTATTTCACCAAATTAAAATCCGCCAATAACCAAAATTTTAGCAATTTGTCAAATTTTACTCCCTCCAAAATTTCCCGCTATACAGTATTACTACTGGTACTATATATTGTCATTATTTTCCTTCCCTATCTATATCTCTAACCTATCCTACATTTGTATTTTTGTCAATACGTAATAATTAAAATTATTATTATTATTATTATTATTATCATTGTTGTTGTTATTATTGTTATTATAATTTGATAATATTGAAATAATAATAATAATAATGATAATAATAATAAAAGTACATACAACAAAAAACCACAAACTATAAAACAAACCTCAGTGTGCATGGACCAAAATCATATTTCCAATCTCCAATTTTTTTGTGTCCAAATCTCATGTAAACTTTTGACCTTCCTTCTTCCCATTTCCAAATGTCTTTTTGAATGACAGCATTAAATTGTACTTTCATTGTCTTATTGTTTGAAGGCTGAAATACATCAAATGTAGTTGCAGGCCTACACATAACAGAGTAGAACTAATGTATAGCTGAAAACTCTTGTGGTTTGCAGGTTTTACAATTTTGGATGGATTTGCAAAATTAAAATCCCCAATCCATCTAGAATATTATATATTAAAATATTTTCACAAATTCTGCATTTTTTGGCTTCATCGCAAAAATTAAAATCTCAAAAATTCTACATCTTCATTGCCATGTAGTGTGATTTGCAAGCCATTCGCATAAATATTTTTCACAAAATTTTGGAAATGCAGGATTCTGCACCTTAAAAATATTCCAATATACAGTATGGTAGATGCGTGTGAACTGTGAATGATAGAATACAAAAATAAAAATAAGAGTAGATCTGCGTAAGCTTGAACCCTTAACATTTCCATATACAATACATAGTGTTACAAAGTTAACTCACAAATTTGGGCATATTTCATCTTTCTTCTCACTTCTTGGCTTATTCTTTTCATGACCTTCACTACTTTTCCCACTTTCATTCTTTTTCTCTTTACTACCTTTTTTGTCAACTCCATCCTTTGTACCTTCCACTTTTTTACTCACTTCACCTTTATTTTCACCTTCCATGGCATCCTTTCCTTTTTCATTTTGTTTATCATCAAGTCCACTGTCTTCCTTGCTAATTTCACTTACAGTGCTACCACGGCCACTTCCAACTGTTCCACTTTTATTATCAACCCCAACATGAGATCTGTGCTCTCCTTTATCACTGTTTCTACTCAATCGATTATATGTACTTTTATCACTATTTCCTTCTTCTTTTCTTCCTTCTGGATATTCTGTTTCCAAATGTTTATTATTTTCCTCCAATTTTTCTTTACCTTCACCCAATATTGTCCACTCATCTTCAGTATTGCTTGGCTTCTGAGTAATGTCAATTACTGTAGTAGCATCACCAATAATTCCAAATGTATCATCAACTTTTTCGCAAGTGACTGCTCCACCAAGCTTTGCAGTTACACCATTAGTGTTACCAACATCAGTAGTGGTTGCAGTATTTCTTTTTTTACTACTAGTTGAGTTATTTTCCTGTTCCTGAGGAGTTTGAGCAGCAGAAGAATCAGAAATAGAGGACTGATTTGATTTAAACTTTTTTCTTAGTTCATCTTGTGACAAAAAAGGTGGGTCAGTTGGTTGTGAAGACAAGTCAGGAGAAGAATCAGGAGAAAGACTATGAGGACCAACAGCAGGAGGAGGACGACCAATATGAGGACTGGATGGATTAGAAGGATGACCAATAGGGGGTCTGGGAGGAGAAAAACCAGCAGAAGGTGGAGGACCAAAATCAGATGCAGGAGGAGGAGGACCAGAAGGAGGAGGCCCAGGAAGGTGACCAGAAGGAGGAAGCCCAGGAGGGTGACCACAAGGAGGACCAGAAGGAGGAGGACCAGAAGGAGGGGGGCCAGAAGAAGGAGGACCAGAAGGAGGACCAGAAGGAGGAGGACCAGAAGGAGGGAGACCAGAAGGAGGAGGACCAGAAGGAGGGGGGCCAGAAGGAGGAGGACCAGAAGGAGGAGGAACAGAAGGAGGGGGACCAGAAGGAGGACCAGAAGAAGGAGGACCAGAAGAAGGAGGACCAGAAGAAGGAGGACCAGAAGAAGGAGGACCAGAAGAAGGAGGACCAGAAGAAGGAGGACCAGAAGGAGGGGGGCCAGAAGAAGGAGGACCAGAAGGAGGACCAGAAGGAGGGGGGCCAGAAGGAGGAGGACCAGAAGGAGGAGGAACAGAAGGAGGGGGACCAGAAGGAGGACCAGAAGGAAGAGGACCAGAAGGAAGGGAACCAGAAGGGGGACCAGAAGGAGGGGAACCAGAAAGAGGAGGACTAGGAGAGGGACCAGAAGGAGGAGGACCAGAAGGAGGGGGGCCAGAAGGAGGAGGACCAGAAGGAGGAGAACCAGAAGGAGGGGGAGCAGAAGGAGGGGGACCAGAAGGAGGTGAACCAGAAGAAGGGGGACCAGAAGAAGGAGGACCAGAAGGAGGAGGACCAGAAGGAGGGGAACCAGAAGGAGGGGGGCCAGAAGGAGGGGGGCCAGAAGGAGGGGGGCCAAAAGGACCAGGACCAAAAGGAGGAGTTGCAGCATAAGGATAGTAAGGAGGATAAGAAGGAAGCTGAGAACTTTGTGGCTGAACAATCTGATATTCATAAGGAGGAGCCGGTGGTACCAAAGGTTGAGTAGTTAATGGGATGGTATGAATTGGAGTAGTAGGAGGAGACTTTTGTTTAGCTCGGCAAGATTTATCGACACAAACTCTAGATTCATAAAAAATATGTCTACCACACACATGACACGCCTTGAAAGATCGTTTGTTAAGTTCCTCATAATCTTGTGGTGCAGTACAAAATATACAATTTTTTGTGGATGATGCCATAGCACAGCCACAGAATATGCACTGTGTTTTCACAGACTCCTGTGACGATGAGGTTTGAAGTTGCCTACATTTACTACAATATACAGCATCTGAGGGTAGTTGTGCATCACAATGTAGACATCGTTTCAGTTTCACAGTAACATTCCCTTGCTTTGGCTGAGGCTCACTACATTTAACACAGTACTCTGCATCGAGAGACAGCTGTACTTTACAGCGAACACATTCCTTTATGAGTAACTGGGCTGCTCCACATTTTCCACAAAACCTGGAACCAAGAGGGATTAGAGGGTTCTTACAGGAGACACAAATCACCTGACTGGACATTGGAGGTCAGTCTTGAATTCGACGTGCCTTTAGCCACTGGTGTGCAACCAGACGTTAAAGTAGAGTAAAAAATGACGAGCGAAGACTCCCAAAAAACTAGAATGTCTCGAAAAACTACTCGGCGACCCACTGCTCACCCATCTACTGTACATGTATGTCAAACTGGAAAGGGAATGCCCACGGGACTTAGGACTATCCCTAATTAAAGCTCGCAGGCGTGGTATTTCAAATCAAATTTTTAAATTTAAAATTTCAAATCAAATTAAATTAGAAAAATGAAAATTGAACAGAAAATAACACTGCATGAGCAGCACACAGAAAAATGTCGTCCCCATTTAGTGCAAAAATCCTCCACTACACTGCAGGTAAGTGCCCTTGGCTGGTTAATTCAGCTTCCCTCTTAAAGTAAAAGTGTACATTGAACTGGATTTCTCCTTATCCATCCATCAAAGACATCTAAAATAGTGATAAAAGAACAATAATTTACAATTACATCTACTTTATCAATAATCATCTGATATTCTATCCCAGGCTTTGTTGTTAGCAACATGTCATTTACAAGATCAAAGTATAAACATAAGTCTTGCTAGCATTATGTTTCTATAGTACATGAACAAAGCATTGATGCTGGACAAAATTATTCTGTGTAACAACATATGTTACATACAAGATCAAAAGTCACAGTATATTAAAGTTGGCTTACTGCAAAATTTCTGTAGTAAGTTCACTAAGTTGCATCATTTTAATAATTACTTAATATTTAGAGTAACGGAGGTAGTTTAGTATGATAGAGTGAGCCGCAAGATAATTGAACCGCAAAGAGATTGATTTCAAATTCAATGACAACTGCAAGTCCCAAAAGTGGGATTGCTTAAATAACCAAAATTATAACAAAGAAACTGAGGCTCCATTCAACCCCATCGGTACAAAAGAGCCTTAGAGTTACACAAAAGGATCAAGCCCAGGAGGGCATATAATGTTACAGACAAAAAGAAGGCTAAGTCTTAGAAGCATACGTAATCTAATTTAATTACAGTAAAGGCCTTCATACACGAGGCGACTTGTTGCTAGCAACCAAGCAACATGTTGCCAAAAATAGAACATCTTTCTATTTCTGGCAACATGTTGCTTACAAGATCAAAGTAACCACAAATGTTGCTAGCAACAAGTTGCCTCATGTATGAAGGCCTTGATGTTTACATAAATCAATAATTAACACATCACATCTAAGTCAGTTAACATGTACATACCCTCTTACAGATTAACACATTCATATGTACACAGCTTCATGAGTCTGTGACACTTAGGAATGCATTAATGTCCACAAGGTCATGTCAGATTTCCCTACTGTACTTGGTACTGGAAGTAAGGTGTCTTTTGGAAAGCAGTGGGTGTACCAGATTCTACCCATGTAGGATTTTTTAAATTCATCACATATTAACTTTTGGAAATTGCTTATACTTATACCCAGGTAGTGAAGTTAGCTAACAGACAGGGAGGCAGTGACAAAATCAACTCAAATGAAATTCTTTTGCTCAGCTTTCAACTGCTCTTCCATTTCCTTTTTCTGCCTTTGTCTTTCCTTTTTACACTCTCGCTGCTCAGCCTTTCTTCTCTCTTTTCTTTTCTTCTCTCTTTTGTATACACTCCATCTAATTTTTTCTTTGCTTTTTGGTCTTCCAAAGCCCTTTCACTAGATGTGTTTTTGAAGTGCAGCAGTACCTCAAATAGCCACAGTTGGCTTTTCTTTTCTAATGTGATCCTTATTAGGAAGTTATAAAATGCCCTTGAGGACAAGCACTTTTATCTGTGGGGTTCGATGGAATAACCATGGTGGTTCTGATGGCTTGTGTACGTTAGTAACATCTTGCAAATGGTCTTCTAGTGTTTGTTTGCATTTCAGCATGCCCCATAGAGTGGATCCTCAATCAAGTCATAACCTTATTCAAATCTTGTTTGACATTTCTTCCAAGTTTCTTCTCCAAGAGCTTGAAGAGCCATTTAAAATGGTTTGCTGTTACAAAAAGGATGACTCAATCTCTTTTTCTCTAATGGCTCTGATTTTTATAAACTTTAGATGGTTGAAGCTTTTGTTGATCAAACGGCAATATTCCTAAATGCCTAAAACGATTAATGAGGCTTTAATGCAGATAAGTAGGCACAATTAGAAATACATTGTTTAAGCATATGAGAGTAAGCTTGATAATGCATCTTGCAGTTGATATTTTGTTTTTAAAAAAATTACACAAGGCTGGTAAAGGAATCTGGAATTTCTGGAAAATTTGGTGGATTGGCCATTCAAAATAAAACTGCCAATATTATAACCATCAATAATAATTGCAATAATGGGCGGCTCATATCATGAGCACATGATACTTAAAATGCCAATATTGCAGTATTTCTCACTATTTCAGTCAAGACTGTGGGCAAGACTGCTAAGGAGCAGCTTCAAAAAAGAGTTGAAAGTGATTAAAGAAAAGACAAGATAGTAAACTGCCAATATTATATTTAGGCAATTTGATGTAAAACCGCCAAATTTTCCACCTATATGGTATTGCTGTCAGCATTGGCACCATTAATGTGTGTAGGGAAAAGCATCAGAAGTAGTGTTGGCGAGAGGAAGAAGGCAGAATTAAGGAGTCTGAGTATGTGAAATATACAAAGAGTAAGAATTGCCCTGGAGCAACTAAATCTAGCAAATCGTCATTGTGAGAAGAGTGGTGTAAAATACCACAGTCAATAAGAAACTTCAAATTTCACAATTATATAAAGCTTATATACTAGAAACAAAAATTAAAATACAATGTATAGGGCACTTCACAATGAAACGATGTGATCAAGTAAAGAAAATGTGAGACACAATGGAATTAACAGTCCCTTTACCAACTGATTTACAAGGCTGTATACAATCACTGGACGGGAAAGGTGGAATGGAATTTTGGACTGGAATAGTGGAATTAATGTTACAAATTAATAAAACACTTGTAGCTCTATGAATAATTAAATAACCACAATTAGTCACGTGCGTTAGCTAATGGAGGCTGTGCAAGGACCAAGCTCGGGACCAAGTATCATTAAAATAGATGGGGGAGAACAGTCAAATAGCCCTGAGCGCCAAGAGCTTTACAGTCCCATTAATCCTAGTCCTATAAATGTAGCTTCACATGATCACTTACCAAAACGCAGGTCAGTACCTCGGAGCAGTTGGTTGGGCATTAATTGTACGTAATCTTTTGTTTTAGGAAGCTCCTTTCAGAACTGGAGTCCGTGTGTGATTGTAGTAGAGATGATGTCATCATTCTTTCAAGTGATAGTGACTCTGACACAGAAATGAGGTACAGCTGTATCCATAGGCCGCCATGGGGTGTGGCCACTTAGCAAAATTTAATAAGTCACTAAAAACATGATGTGCTTTCTTTTACAGAAATAAGAAAGTATTAAAGAAAGAGATAGTGGAGGAAGAGACTAAAGAAGCAAAGGAATATCAGTTCACAGAGTAATAAAAATTAATAATTTTCCTTATTCAATTTTCTGTTAAAATTGCAGTTCAGGTGCCACAATATATGAAGTACCTAGTAAGAGTTATACAGGCGAGCGTATCTTGGAGATACTTCTAGATGATGAAATTGATCGTAAAAAAGTTTGCGAAGAGCAACCCACTCTGATTACTAAATCTGCTACTTTTGTTATTGATATCAATTCATTGAAACATCCTGATGATGTGAAGAAAGACGAATTTGGGCGGTGGTGCTACAGTGTATAATGGCTCACATTTTCAAGTATACTTGGCGTGGAAATCAGATGATGGTTATACATATGAAAAAGTTGACAAAGATGATAAGAGTGAGAATAGATTTTTACTGAGAAGGATTAATTGTAGTCATCCATCAAATTCTCAGTTAACACGACTTTTAGCATTTGTAACAGGTTTGTTTCTATAATTTCAACTCAATTGTTTCATTCATTCTAATTTTAGACCCTCATGGAGACCCACATCATTTGTGTCTTTTATCTTACCGTATACCACGTGGTTATAAACCAGTTGTTCAGCCTCATGGGAATTTAAAATCGCTTTCTCCTTTTTATCCTACTTTACATAGTACTAAGCAAGAGATGAGGCGTTTATGCACCACAATTTCACCAAAGGGCACAGTTGGAGTTGTCTCAGCAAGTTTGGGAGGTGTTGTTGCTGCAAAAAGTCCTTGTCAATTACCTCGTAATGAATGTCAAGTGATGTATATTAAGAGTAAACACCAGCAATCCACTTCTTCAGTAGATGCTTCCAGTGATCATTTGTTTGCAGTTATGCTATCGGCCAAGTCTCAAGACGAGAATGGAAAGTTTGTCTGTGACACTCGCCCTTGCCCTGAGCCAGCATTTATTGTTGCTCGCGATTGACAACTAAATGATTTAGTCAGATTTTGCACTTCAGCCAGTGTATTTTCAGTTCTTACTGTTGATCCCACCTTCAACTTGGGTGATTTTGACATCACACCTACCACCTATCAGCATTGTCTTCTGAAAAGCTTACGTACAAATAAATCACCTCTTTTCATTGGTCCAACTCTCATTCATTATAAGAAGACATTTGCTACTTACCTTTTTTTGCGTCTGGTATGGCTGGTCTTTGACGAGAGTTACAAAGCCTACGTGAATTTGGAACAGATGGTAAGAAGCCACTTGCTGATGCTTTTCAACATGAATTCAGGTATGCAGTTCGCTTAACTTGTTTCATTCACTGCCGACGCAATATTAAATCAAAGCTACAAGAGCTTAATTATTCTGAATCACTCATAAGTGATATATTGAGTAGAGTTGTACCGATAATCTATCAGTATAATCGATTATCGGTTTATTGGCAGTTTTTCCAGTGTATCAGTATCGGTAAAATCAAATTATTTTAACTGATATACACGTGGCTGCTGCGCATGCGTATAACTGGTAAATGCCCATTTTTGGGTGTGGCTAATTTACATGTGGACTCACTTGACTCAGGACTTACTTGCTTGCTTACTTTTACAAATTTACACTTACCGAGATGTCGAAGAAGAGATCACCTATATGGCAATACTTTGACATTGCTAAAGACTCAAGAGTGGTAGTTTGCCGTACTTGTAGCGATCAAATCTCAAGAGGTG